CCAACTCTTTGCATGGTTGCCCCTTCACTTCATTTAAATCTCTGTTCGAATTTTACCCTTTTTCTAAAAAAAAAAAAAAAGCCTTCCTTGACCATTCCAACCACTCTTATTTTCCCCTCCAGTACTCTTTTCTCCTTATCTACTTTTGTTTTCTTAATCATGCCTATCATTATCTGACCAATATTGATTTTTCGGTCCACCCTCCCACTAGAAATCAGGTCACTGACGTTGGGAACTTTGTTTTCTTTACTACTTTATCACCTTTGCTTAGAACAATCAGTAGTGATGAAATGTATATTTCATGAATGAATGAAAAGATGAAAGCCTAATTTTCCCAGGTTTGGAATTCTAAATTAGTAAGAGAATTAAAGGGATGCCTTTTATATTTTGTGAAGAGAAACCACTCCAGTCAATCTCTGGCCAGCCTATGTATTGCCATCCTTGTGTCAGCTGCCCACCCTTTCTTTGGTCTACTCAGACAGGGTTGAGATGGGGCCACTATTCATAGTATGGAGCGCTGGTACTTATAGCATCAGGCAAGCAGATGCCCTCAGGTGGGATTTGAGTGGCTCAGCCCTGGTGGCACTTGGGCTTCGTGAAGCACCAGTTCAGCAATAACAGAGAGGCCATCTTCCTTTAGCTAGAAATGTCAAGGTCAGGAAATAGGTTGCTTCTTCCGGGTATTATCTCTCTCTCTGGCCTCAGTCATAATTTTCCTTAATTTTAATTTTTTTAAATGTGTTCTACATTTTATACTGAATTTTTTGAGCAGTTAATAATAATTATAGTTAATATTTTTGAAATTCCCTATAAGCCTGTCACTTTATGAGCATATTTCTGTACCTTGACTCCTAGAATCCTCATGACCACCCTCTAAGGTCGGTGCTGTGATTGTCATCTTCATTTTGAAGATGAAGAAACCTGATAATAGGGAAAATGAATTGCCTGAGATCTCTCAGTGAGTAATTAATAGAACCAGGATTTGAACCCAGGAAATCTCGTTCAAGCTGTCCATCTAACAAAACTATTTTAGGTAATCAGTCCCTTGTGGGGCTTATCAAGAAGTCCTTATTTTCTTAGAAATAACATTCTGATGGGGTAAATATATGTAGATATGCTTTTAAAATGACAAAACACTCTGTGTAAGCTATTTTTATTAAGCAAACATTTTAAGTACATTAAATATACATCTGCGTCTGTGCAATGTCACAGACTTAAGATCTAGTATTTTCTGTGATCTTTGCATCTGTTTTTTATGGATACACACCAGAAATTTAAATTTTTTCTTTTGCCCAGATTGGCAGAGTTTTCTTTTTTTTATTTTGTTTTCTTTTTTATATTTTTTATTGAAGTATAGTTGATTTATAATGCTGTGGTAGTTTTTGGTGAACAGGAAAGTGATTCAGTTATATGTATTTTTTTATTTTTCATATTCTTTTCCATTATGGTTTATTACAGGATATTGAATATAGTTCCCTGTGCTATACAGTAGGACCTTGTTGTTTACCTATTACGTACATAGTAGTTTGTATTTGCTAACCCCAAACTCCCAATCCACCCCTCCCCCATCCCTCTCCCCCTTTGCAACCACAAGTCTGTTCTCTACGTCTGTGAGTCTGTTTCTGTTTCGTAGATAAGTTCATTTGTGTCATATTATGGTTCCACAGATAAGTGATATCATATGGTATTTGTTATTTTCTTTCTGACTTCACTTAGTATGATAATCTCTAGGTCCATCCGTGTAGCTGCAAATGGCATTATTTCATTCTTTTTTATGGCTGCATAGTATTCCATTGTATATATGTACCACATCTTCTTTATCCATTTATCTGTCAATGGACGTTTTGGTTGCTTCCCTGTCTTGACTATTGTAAATATTGCTGCTATGAACGTAGGGGTGCATTTATCTTTTTGAATAATAGTTGTGTCCAGATATATGTCCAGGAGTGGGATTGCTGGATCATATGGTAGTTCTGTTTTTATTTTTCTGAGGAATCTCCGTATTGTCTTCTGTAGTGGCTGCACCAACTTATATTCCCACCAACAGTGTAGGAGGGTTCCCTTTTCTCCACACCCTCCCTAGCATTTGTTATTTGTAGACTTTTAATGGTGACCATTCTGACTGTTGTGAGGTTGGTACCTCATTGTAGTTTTGATTTGCATTTCTCTAATAATTAGCGACGTTGAGCATCTTTTCATGTGCCTGTTGGCAATCTTTGTGTTATCTTTGGAGAAATGTCTATTTAGGTCTACTGCCCATTTCTTGATTGGGTTTTTGGTTGTTGTTGTTATTGAGTTGTATGAGCTGTTTGTATATTTTGGAAATTAAGCCATTGTCGGTCGCTTTGTTTGCAAATACTTGCTCCCATTCCATAGGTTGTCTTTTCATTCTGTTTATGGTTTCCTTTGCTGTGCAAAAGCTTGTAAGTTCGATTGGGTCTCATTTGTTTATTTTTGCTTTTATTTCTATTGCCTTGGGAGACTGACCTAAGAAAACATTGCTATCTATGAATTATGTCAGAGAATGTTTTGTCTATGTTCTCTTCTAGGAGTTTTATATGTCATGTCTTATATTTGTCTTTAAGCCATTTTGAGTCTGTTTTTGTGTATGGCATGAGGGAGTGTTCTAACTTCATTGATTTACATGAGACAGTCCAGCTTTCCCGATACCACTCCCTGAAGAGACTGTCTTTTCTCCATTTTATATCCTTGGCAGAGTTTTCAATTAAGAAAGTTGCCAATTTTTACAATAAGCAAGAATCAAGGCCCTAAAATACTTTGCTCCACTTAATACTTTGGATTTGGGAGGACTCTCTAACAAATGCAGAAAAGTGTCAGAAACACTTTAAATAAGTTAAGGTTTATACTAAGGGCAACAAACAATTTTGTTGGGTTTCTTGAGCTGTGGTTACAACAAGAATATAAACACATAGGTATAAGATAGGTGCTTGAGAAAGAAAGTAATCCATTACTTAGCATCTTCTCTATGCATGGCCCCATGTTAAGCACTGGGAGATGTACGATGATGTATAAAACAACATTCTAAATTCATGTTGTGGGCTTTTTTTCTGAACCACAAAAACAGACTTGAATATTCAATATGTGACTGCCTCAAGTCCTTTGTAATATCATGCAGTGCAGGCAGAAGCCAATAGTCCCATCCCTCGCACCTGTTGTACCCTTGTATCTTTCCACCACTGACTGGTAGGTAACTCCTAAGGATTTTCTCTTAAAAAAGGCTTGACTGTTCACATTACATTAAATTGAAGCAGGTGAGAATTTATTTATCCTCGTATTTTATAGTAAGGGCTGTATGAGGAAAAGGCCATATTTACAAACATCTGTCTCTAGACGGCTAGTCTTCTTCATCTTTAAGCAGCATGGTAGTTCTATTCTTTTGTTTTGCACATGTGCTTTTTAGAAAAGACCGTAATTTGCTCTGTAGTCTTGATTTCCATTTTTTTTGGTGAAGTTGTTCAGGGTCGTCATGGCCCATATCCATCAATCGTGCCTGCTTCACAGATTTCCTTTGTCAGTAGCACGTATCAGTATGATGAATGGTTCAGGGTTCATATTCAGGAATCTGATTGGATAGCTGTCATTTCATTTGTTGCAACTGACAATTCAAAAAAATATTGATAAAGTTGTCCATGAAAAGAGAGTAATGCAAGTCAGTTTTACTTATTATGAACGATAAAGCTTGGTAATTTGTGGGTAGAAATAGGTTCTATACTCCAGTGTATTTCCTGGGCCTGAGGGAAGGCATTAACCCTTTTTAAGTGACTATACCACAGCATTAAGTGGTAGCTCTGTGATGTGAAAGAGTGAATATCATACTATGTTGAATGTTTCATCACTGGTGAATCAGGGTCCATGACCTCTTTAGTAAAACCTTACTTTTGTTCTGTTTCTAACAGGGAGTAGTAATTATTTACTTATATTTTTAAAATATATGTATTTATTAATTATAAAATTACTTAATTAAGAGGTGTGCTTTTTTTAAGAATGATAGATGCTTATTATTAAAGATAATATAAAGATTATCAAAAACTTCAAAAATCCTCTGAAATACTACTGTTAAAGATGATTTTTTAAAAAATATATTTATTTATTTTATTTTATTTTTGGCTGTGTTGGGTCTTCATTGCTGTGAGCGTGCTTTCTCTAGTTGTGGCGAGCGAGGGCTACGCTTCGTTGTGGTGGCTTCTCCTGCTGCGGAGCACAGGCTCCAGGCGCGTGGGCTTCAGTAGTTGTGGCTCGCAGGCTCCAGAGCGCAGGCTCAGCAGCTGTACCACACGGGCCCAGCTGCTCCGTAGCATGTGGGATCCTCCCAGACCAAAGCTCAAACACATGTCCCCTGCATTGGCAGGTGGATTCTTAACCACTGTGCCACCAGGGAAGCCCTAAAGATGATCCTTGATCTTAGAGGAGATCTTAAGACAGAGGGGCATAGGGATGATGGAGTATTGAAATAGACTCAAGTGTTTTCAAGAAATTTAGTGAATGATAAAAGGTGTATTTTAAGTCAGTGGTTTTTTTTTTTGTCAGTTGTGTTGATATAGATGGGTTGGTTTTTTTTTGAGGAAAATCAGCTTGTTCTCAACTCACTCTCGATAGTTATGTAAACTTCAAACATATCAAAGATTTTTTTACAGTGAAACTATAAAATTATTATGATTAAATATGTTAATATTTGAAAACCTTGGTTTTAGGAAGTCTTTTAAAATGTGTCAGAAGTCCAGAAATTAAAAAAGGAAAAAAAACTAAATTTGACTGAATAAAGTAGAAAAACTTCAGTATAGCAGAAAACAAACAAAACACTACAAAATCATAGACAAAATTAAAAGAGAAAACAAAGTGGGAGGAAATGACAGCACATAACACAGTTAATTAGAGTAATCTATAAAAATAAGAAACTACAATAAAGAAATGCACATAGAGAAATACTTCTTCACAGAAGAGGAAAAATCAATAAACATATGCTTTCTTAATGTCCAAGGTATCAATAAGCATATACTTTATTAGTATTTTAAAAATCCATAGCACATATTTTATTAGTATTCCAGGAAATTCCATTATAATCAACAAATGGAAAGGGTTTTATTGTCAATAAGCCCGTGAAACTTAGTTGTCTCATTTTTCCAGATTATGTGGTGTGTAGACAGCATGTAGTCTCTTTACCGATAGAAGGGATGGGATAAGACCAGCAGTGTCATATATGATTCCACATGGAAGTCCAAGAATATCTTGGGATTTTCTAGATTTTACATATCAGAGAAAATGCTCTGTTTATATTGTGAGATATATTTATAATTTTACTGCACAAATAAGTGAATGATCAAAATTGTTCAAACTATAGTTTTTGAATACATTCTCATGGTGGACATTTATGCCTCAACCACTATGAAACTCAGACTGTTATTGAAAAGAACCTTTCCCTCTTTCTTTACACTGAATTCAGGCTCTTGTAGATCTTTCATAATTTCTGCTTTGAGATCAGGTGGTGCTGTTGTAGTAAAGTTCCAGGTTTCTGTCAAAAAATCCCAAAGCAGGTCTCCATTTTCATTGCCATCAATAAAACAGTCAGATATGTCCATGGTAGACAGAAGGTCATAACACTCATACTTAATCCCCAACTTGTCCAGCATCTGCATGAGGTCAGATGACGTGACACACTGGCAGAGGTCATCCCGGGGTAAGTGAGATCTGTACTTTTTCCATAGCTTGTCCCAGCCACTGGTTCCTGTGCAACAGAACAAAATTCATGCTTTCAGCTATTCTTCTTTTCCTTTACCTACTCTGCCAACCAGTACACTAGATGCTTGGAATAGAGCAGTCAATTTAAAAGAAAGAAATTCTTGCCTTTGTGTAGCTCAGTTCAAGGAGTGAAGGGGGTGGGAGGAGAGAAAGTTAAATAAGTAAATAAATCATATATCAGATGGTGCAGAGTGCTAATGAAAAACAATTCAGAGCAAGGAATAAGGGGGATCAAAGAGTTGGATGGGTTGCTGTTTTATATCAGGTGGTCGCAGATAGTCTCTCTAATAATGTGACATTTGAGCAGAGACATGACAGCAATCCACACAGATATCAGAGAGAAGATTACTCCAGGTAGAGAGAAGAGCAACTGCAAGGGACCTGAAGCAGGAACAGGCTTGGCATGTTAAGAACTAGCCAGGAAGCCAGTGAGATTGGAATTGAGTGAACACAGGGGAGCGTGGAAGGAGAGGAGGTTGTATGGGTGATGGTGAGGAGTAGACTGGGTGCTAAATCATATGGAAAAAGATGAGAAGCCATTGTAGTGTGGTCTAATAGAACTTTCTGGACTCTTGGACATGTTCCATATTTGCGTTGTCCAGTATCGTAGCCAGTGACCACTTTATGGTTATGGAACATGTAAACTGTGGCTAGTGTGACTAAGGGAGTGAATTTTAAGTGTTACTTCATCTTAATTCATTTCACTTTCAGTAGCCAACTGTGGCTTCCATATTGGACAACACAATATTAGAGTGACTTAACCTGATTTGCATTTTCATAAGGTCACTCTGGCCACACAGATGGACTATTCTGTATTGAGAATAGACTATAGGGGCGTAAGGACAGATCAGGAAGAACAGTAAGAAAGCTACTGCAATAATCTGGGTGTTAGATGATGTTACGTTGCACCAGCAAGATTGGAGGTGATGAGAAGTGGTTGAATTTTTTATATATTACACTCCTAGATCCAATGCCATTTGCTAATGATTTGGATATTGTTAACAATAATAATTTGGATAGTGAAAGAAAGAAAAGAATCAGTGATGATCCCAGTCATTTTGGCCCAAGCATCTGCAAAGAGAAAATTGCCATTATTGGAAATGGGAAGAATGAGGGAGGAACATGTTTAAATGTGTTATCAGGCATCTGGTTTTGGAGACATAAGGTTGAGGTCCCCGTTGGACATTCAGGTGGTGATAGGAGGAAGGCAGTTGTTTATGTTAGTCTGGTTCAGAGGAAAGGGTCTAAGAGTAAAAATTGAAATAGAAAGAAAGAGCACAGCAAATACAATGGTAGTTTACCCAGACCAAAGATGGGATAGCCTCTCATGTCTATACAATTACAGGATGCTGCCTTGGACAGTAACAACTAGGTTGAGTCCTAAAAATGTTGTCCCCAGCTTTAGAAGATATATTAGCAGTGTATGTTGTATTTAGTTGAAAACCTGGCCCAGTGTAGAAGCTAAGAGATACAGCATCTGTGGGAGAGATAGGTTGGACTGTTCTGACACTTCATGAATGAGATGAGGTTTGGTATTTAGTCTCCCAGAACCTCAGTTTTCTCATCTATAAGATAGAGATAACCATACTTACCCCAAATGCAACTGCAAGTATTAAATGAGATAATTGAAGTGAATCATTGCTCAATGGTAAGCACATGGCAGACGTGTAATAGGTGCTTACAAAATAAATGAATATTATATGGAATTACTTGGATAATGTATTTCTGCTGGTTGTAATCTTGAGAATGTAAAAAGACAAATTTGCTTTTCAGAAATCTGTAATAATACTAATAAATCAAAACAAAAGAACAGCTCTTTATGGACTTTCTAATATACACATCTAATAGTGGGCTGTTACAGAGATAGTGGATGTGTGCAGCATTTAAGAGTGGTGTCTAAAGCCTGACTTTCTGAGTGTGAAGTCTGGCTTCTCCTCTTCCTAGCTTTATGAACCTGTGCCTCAGTTTTGTCATCTATAAATCAGGGATAATAATAGAATATCTTCATAGGATTGTTCCAAGGATCACCAAGTTGATAAAGTAAGGCACTTAGAACCATGACTGGCACGTAGTAAACACTGCTGAAGTGTTAGGAAATTAAGTTGGCCTTGGCCAAAGCAACATAAGAGAGAACTTACAACTCTATGAGTTTCCAGGATTAAAAATTAAGATTTCAAAGGCGTGAACTTTTTTGGTTCCGAAAGCTCCTTTATGATGTAATCAAAGTAATCAGGCTCTCCAGAAAAGTATACAAACACTATATAGCCACACAATTCTGCATATAATTATAGGAGGTTGGCCTCATCCATGGACTTGGCTAAAGTCTCCTGATTTAACTCAACAAAAGAGAATAACCAAGGCAGAAAATGGTAAATAATAAGTAGCCTAGATAATTGATGTTCCACTAACATTTCAGAAGAGGGAACGATAACTACAGGATAAGCTCTAGAAGAAGGTGGAATTGGAATGAAGCAGAAAAAAAATAAAACCTCAGTTCAGTGGAAAAAAAAATGAGGGTCATGAGCATGTACTACAAAAATCTTTCATTCCAAAGACAGTGACTGCCTAAATAAGAATTTGCCTGCAAACAAGACTACAAGAAAATAAATATTTCGGTGGTTGAGGAAAGGCTCTGTTATCATTTTTTTTTTTTTCACCCTGGCAGAGAAAAAAGAACCAAACACTAATTGCAGAGAATTTGCTGGTGTCAGTGTTCTGTGACTCAGTGCCATTTCTGAGCTGAGCAATTGGAAACTTTCTGACTGATACATTATCATAATGGCTCTCGGTGGGCACAACATATGGTGTTACTTTTGTTTTCAACATGATATAAACCAGGTCCCTCACCCCCACCCCCCTTATTAAAAATAACACACCATGATTTGCCTCCTTCCTTAGATAAGGAGAGGGCAAGACAGAAAATGTCACTGATCTCCTGGCTAGTCTCCTGTAACCAGATAAGTTGCATTTTAATTAGCAACTCTCTCAACGAGTGCCTGGCTACTACATTTGCAGAAAAACATGCCACTAACATTATTTTAGTGTGGGATACTCCTCATTTTAAAAATCCACCTCTTCTTATTTCTCTTCTTTTTCATCCCCAAATCAAATCTTTTATCATTATAATCAGGAACTTCTGTTTGTTATAAATAAATAAATATTTACTGAGCTGGGCTAACTCTTTAATGGATACTTAGGAACTGGAGAAAAGCCTCTGTTCTGCCTATTTCGGTGTGCACTGTGTGCGTGTGAATATGTGTATCTTCTTTATTGAGTCTTTTATTCCTGTTTATTAAATCCATCTTCAAATCTCCAGAACTTTCTGTATTCTCTGATTCCATGTCTATCATGTTAGCTAAAACATGGTATCTTTTTTTGAATGGACATTCAGAACTAGCTGTTGTTGGGATAGTATAAGGCAGAAATAATAAACAATTATTCAGTTCAATTCAAACACATTCACTGGGTGTCTTCTTCTAGTTGCCAAGGGTTTTGCAAAGATCTGGGACTAGAGATAAGAGGCAGAGCCTCTTGCTCTCCGGGAACTCTCCTTAAACTCCCTATCTGCCTCTGATCAGAACTTAGCACCTTTTTGAAAGTATGTACACGTCTGAATCCTCCATTAGATTAGGAGCCTTTCAAAGGCAGAGGAGTAACAGTCATCTTTGCAACCCCGGAGCCTAGCAGTGACCAACTAGAGGAGCTCAATAAAAGCTGAATGAACCAAATCTACACGACTGTCCTATGCAGTCAACTTGGGACCAAGAGTGTAGGCTGTGTTTGAATATGCTGAATACACCTGTCACCTTAACCAAGCTAGGTGCCCTGCATAATTAAATCTAGAAACTGACCCCGTATTTCATTATCTTAGAATCTAATAAATTGCAAACAATGGGTGTCCATATGGTGCTCAAGTAACTGAGCACTTCAGTTTATTCACAGAGAGAACGCATCAGTTCGGTAACAGGTCAGTGTCTGACTCGGATGGACAGGCAGAAGCCTTAGCTGTGGGGCATATTTAAGATGACCTTTTAGAGCAAGATGTTAATCCAGGCATACCATTATGTGCTTAGGTGAGATACTGGCTTGATGAGCGTTCTTAGAAATTTAATTTAGTGACTAGATCTAGGCTTGTCTGACTCTGTTGGCGTCGAGTACTCAGTTTGCTGTATTGCAGTGAGGCTGTGGATGAGAATATTGCCCCCAAAGAAAGGAAATACACAAACAGGCTTCTTCACTTCTGGGTAATTATGAAGCAAATTCCATTTAGAAAGTGACTGCAACAAATGTGATATAAACGGAGCCTAGTGTGAACCATTTTGGTGTAGCTGTTTCAAGTTTTAGGGTAATATTCAAGTTTAAGGAATGTTTTCATTGGGCAAGTATGAAGAATGGGGGTTCAAGTTGGGGCTGAGAAGGTAGTTTAGGGTAATGGTTTTTCTACAGCGGTAAGGTAGGAAGTTGATCAGGCACCTCAGCAGACCTGGGGAGCTTTCCCAAACCTGTCTGCTATCCAAAGACTGGTCAGGCAGATAGGGATTTGCAGTGATATCATCAAATGAAAAAGTGACTAATAAAAATGTGGATCAATTCTATACATGTTAATTGACAACGATATAAAACAAATCTGATTGGAAAGTTCTTGCGATTAACTTTGTTTTCACTGTTGGAAATTGACTATGCTCTATTTTCCTGAAAGTTGACCCATATGTTTATATCAGCTTTATTAATACGACAAAGCAGTTCTTGCTATTTTTAAAAAAGAAGACCATAGGCACTTCCACACACCGAGGGGCCAACAGAATTTATCTCAGAGAAATACACTGTTGTTAAGATGGGTTTATAGGTGCACAGGTTTATCTAGGTCAGAGAGGCAGAGCAAAAGGGAGTTAAACTGCTCTAGGTAACACATAAGAGGGGTAGAAGGGGGAAGTAAGGAGCTGGTATCTTAGGAAGAGCACGGAGTTAAGAGGGTTGTGTGTTACCAGTGTTTTCCTCTTTGGGATACCTGCCTCCCACTGCTGTGTGCAGTAATGAAAAATTGTAAGCTGTGTGCTGAAAAAGTTAGTAAAACATCTCCACCGTCAAACTACAGAATGAATAAGTTTTGACTCAAAATACCTTTTTTTATGAAAGCTAACTGGTTTTTGCACTTTTACTCCCTTTCTTTGATTTGTTTTTCCCCATGAGTGTATATAGACATAGTACCTGTGAACTAAATGTATGCATAGATGCCGTATTATGTAGGTATGATTATCTGGAAATAGGCCTTGCACGAACTAAGACTCACAGACCAAGTTCACACAGCTAGGAAGCGCCTCAGCATTCTTGATTTTATGTCTCATCCTGCATTTCACTGGACCTGTTTTGGTTTGCACGTATCCTGATGCCGATTAACCACGGATTCTATTAACGTATTCATGATGTAGCCAGCAGAATACTGTATCCATAAGGGCACTTAGTCCGTTCTCAGTTGCTTGTAGACTGCTCATTCCACTTCCTAAACCTTAGGCTGGCTTTTTCTTATTGGTAGGCATAGACTCATAGAGAGCTGCCTTCTGACACTCCAATACTTGACTTCTGAAAATATTTAAGCATAAACCAAATATATATAACAGTAGATCTTCATTTGATATGAAATATATCCTAAAATCAAACATATATGACTACTGGATGAATTACTATTTCTGTCTGCAACACCGTTTCTTTATTATTGACACAGATTATCAAGAATAGACTGCCCTCAGTGTTGATAACTAAATTGACTTCTGTATTCCTAAATGCAGTACAAAGTGCTTTACCCAAGTGTCCTAATTTAGAGAGAGGTTGGTGGGAAACATCCAGTTTACAGAAGCCCTTCTAAATGGTAAGATAGAACTCTCCCACACAAATGAGTATTTTTAACTAACCTGAGATAAAAATAGTATATCAAATGTTCCCTTAGAGAAGAGGTTGTGTACAGGAACTCTCATTTGCCAAACTCCCACATGAGTTCAAACCCAGGATTATAGGCAACAGCTATGTTTGCCATCCTTAAAGCCATTCCTCATATTTAAGAATACATGGGAACTTCCCTGGTGGCGCAGTGGTTGAGAATCCACCTGCCAGTGCAGGGGACACAGGTTCGAGCCCTGGTCCGGGAAGATCCCACATGCTGGGGAGCAACTAAGCCCATGCACCACAACTACTGAGCCTGTACTCTAGAGCCCGTGAGCCACAACTACTGAGCTCTGGCGCCACAACTACTGAAGCCCGCGCACCACAGCGAAGAGTAACCCCCGCTCGTAGCAATTAGAGAAAGCCCACGGCCAGCAACGAAGACCCAATGCAGCCAAAAATAAATAAATTTATAAAGAAAAGAATAAATGCATTTTGCGACCTATGGTTTCTGAGTACAGGGTCTGGTATAAGCTTAGGGAGATAGAGGCTGCTGTGTACGTGCAGTGAACCTGCCTAGCACTGTGTGGACAATCCACAAAGACTGCTGAATGAAAGAAGTAATGAATTAATGCATGCAACAATGTCAGTGTTTCATTTGCTAATCTGTTTACTTATGTTCTCTGTGTGGTACTTATTGTATCATTGGAAACAACATGACATGATCAAATGCCTTCTTTGGAAAATAACACGACAACACAAAACAAAACAAGGGGACCATTTTTGATACTTATTTGAGAAAACCTAAATGAACATTGATAATGGCTCTAGAAATGCAAATTAATCAAATAGGATAGTGTCCCAAATATTTAAACCTTTATTTTATTGATATTTATTAATAAACATCACAGAAGAGAAAGACATTCAAGAGACAAAAAGGAGGTAAATAGAAATATTTACTATTTTTAGTCTCATTAAAAACATTCCTATCCGTTGTATTTGCTGTATGTTAAATAAATATTTTTTATATAGAGACAACAAGGATATATTTGCTCGAGAGAAAGAAGTAAACAGACATTCAATTCCACTGGAACTCCTAAATGGAAAGCTGTTGAGAAGGATTTTCCTAATACTGTGTTAATTAATTGACTCTGATCAGAAGCCAAATCAGGAATTTCATAATGAAGATGAAATATACCAGCTGCCTCCAAACACATGTATCCATGCGCTATCACTGTTTCAAAATTCAGGCTGAAGGAAAATAACTTACCGGACACAAGAGTAATGAGAATCTTAGCACCGGTAGCTAAGAGACTATGGAAGAATTTCAGGGTGCCTGGGATGTCTTTTACATAATACAGCATCTAGAAGTGAAGGAAGAGAGAAACGAGATGCTTTTCTATGTCAATGTCTTTGTCGCTTGGACTAAATACTCACTAGAAGGTTTGATGTTCAAGTTGAGTGGATTTTTATTCAACAAAACACTTAAGAAATTTAAAAATTAAAGATGTTATATATAGACATAGAATAATAGTGTGAGAAAATATTTGGGGAGAGGGGAAACTATGGTATTTACTCAACTAGAGTCAAACAGCTTAAACTTTACTCTTTCTGGCTTCATTAACACAGACATTTATAGCTCGAGACAGTCTGCATTCCACATGGGGGCACTGAATTCTAATGCTCACTTTATATTTTGTGAGTTTTAGTAGTTCTGGGCAAAAATGGTGCTGGCACCGTAGAAACATTCCATTTCATGGAGCGTTGCTTTAAAATTAAGCCCTTTGCACTAGCTTCACCGTAGGCTCACAGATGATTTTTTTAAAATCATGGAAAATGTGACAGGTTTTGATGTTGACAGATTCTCTAGGGAAATGGACTGGATAAAGCCTAAAGTTACATGCATGGTTCCAGGGTGTTAGGAGTCAGCCCACCCTTTTTTTTTTTTAATAGATCTTTATTGGAGTATAATTGCTTCACAATACCGTGTTAGTTTCTGTTGCACAACAAAGCGAATCAGCCATAAGCCTACCTATGTCCCCATATCCCCTCCCTCCCATCCTCCCTATCCCACCCCTCTAGATGGTCACAAAGCACCCAGCTGATCTCCCTGTGCTATGCGGCTGCTTCCCACCAGCCAACTATTTTACATTCGGTAGTGTATATATGTCGATGCTACTCTCACTTTGCCCCAGCTTTGCCCTCCCACCCTGTGTCCTCAAGTCCATTCTCTATGTCTACCTTTTTATTCCTACCTTGCAACTAGGTTCACCAGTAGCTTTTTTTTTTTTTTTATTCCATATATATGTGTTAGCATACGGTATTTGTTTTTCTCTTTCTGACCCAGAGTGAAGTAAGCCCACCCATTTTTAATAACTGAACCATCTCTGGTGAAGGTGAAGTGCAGGGAGAGAGAGGTCTTTCCACCCAACACGATAGAGCTTGGAATTAAAGATTGGCAGTAGAAAATTTTCCCTAAGGACTTACATCCCTGGAATCTACCCCCATAGACACTTCTTACATCTCATCTTCAGCTCTCTTAAACAAGAATTCAATGTTTTATGTAGATGCCATGATAGAATTTATTGCATAAAGCATAAACAACCTAAGCTATGCCCCTCTCACACAAATGAATGAAATACAGTGGAGCTGCACACAGCTTGTGCAGCGTCACAGGCCGTATTTAGTATCATGTCACTCCATGCTGTTCATCACAGGGACCATACATAGACAGGCACCCAGATGCAGCCACAAGATGGCTAACCATCCCTGACATGACCTGGCTGAAAAGAGGAGGCGGGTCATAGCAGATGCTCTGAAATTTGATCTAATAGACACAGAATCTCTGCAGTTGATTATGAATATCAAGTTGAAGGATGTCATGAGAATGCTAGGACCGCAAGGAGCAATAGAGAGACAGAGAAATAGCACAGAAAAATGCAGAGTAGATGGAGAGGGACAGAGGAGTAATGTAGAGGAAGCAGAGTTGCTGTAAGAAAGAAAGAACAGACGTGGAGCTTTTGAGAGAAACTGGTGAATGATCTCTGAAGCTGCAACATTATATAAGAATTATATATATATATAAATATAGATATAGATATAAATATAGTTATAGATATAGATCTATTTAAGTAGCTAGATAGTGCAGCAACTGCCATGAATTCTGTACACTAAAGAGAACAGTCTCACATATATTTTTCATTTTGTTTTATGTCATATTCCCTTATTTATAGCATTCACTGGTATGTTTGTAGAATACAGATTTTTTTAAATGCTAAAAAAAAAAAAGAGGAATTTTATAAGAATGGGATCCAGAGCATATGTGGAGGGACTGGCTTTTGATAAAGGGAGGCTTTTGTAATAAGGGGAAAGAAAGACATGGTGCGTACAGGTGCAGCTATGTTTGCAGATTTGGAGAGTGAAAGATGATTTTCTACCTGATGGTTTCTCTTTTTGCTACAGAATAGGACGTGAGGTCATCAGTTGGAAATGAGTGGTGGAGGAGGGATTACAGGAGGTATAAGGAGAGAGAGGGAGGTATGAGATAGTTATACAGGTGACCCTTGAACAAGGCAGGGGTTAGGAACACCAACACTCTGTGCACAAATGTTCACACATAACACAGAGTTGGCCCTCCCTATATGCAGTTTCTCTGTTTCTGGGGTTCTGCGTCAGTCATGTAACATTTATTATTGAAAAAATCCACATATAAGTGGACCCATGCAGTTCGAACCTGTGTTGTTCAAGGGCCAGCTGTTTGAGAAGGTGGGAAAGTAAGTCTAGTAGAGAAACATAGGTTTGCTGAGCAATGTTAGGACTCCCTTATAGGTAAAAGATTTTGTCCGCTAAGAAAGCAAAGATGTAGGATTGCCTGGATATGCTGATCTTGGAGTCATTTCTTCCTCTGATTTTAAAAACTTTATTCCTTTGGGATGACTGTGCTTGTGGACTATAGAAAGCAAAAAGCATCTTGTTGTTCATCGTGGTATTTCTAAAATATACACATCTTTTAATGGTAGCCAACACCCAAAGCCTATACACCTATATGCTATCCAGATATGTCAGTGACCTCTGGAAGTATGTCCCCATACCACCTACTGAATTGTCTCCCCCTTTCCAAGAAATACACTATTGTATTTCTAAGAAATATACTATCATATTTCTAAGAAATACACTATAAGTGCTGGACCATGGAAATAAATTCCTATGTAATGACTGACTAATGTGAGTAACACTTTGTTGACCTGAGAAATCATCTAGCCTGCCCTTCTGTCATGTGCACATGAGCCAGGTCATCAAAAGAAGGCAAAAACAAGAGGATTCAGAAAAACTCTGGGATGTTGGTCCATCCAGACCATTAGAGTTACTGGAGAATTGTGTTAGGATGTTTTACACTCTACTATCTATGAACTTTCAATCCCACAAAAGTTAAGCCAGCATTGAAAAAAAAAAATCAGTAACTATGGGGGTATTTTGCATAGAGAAAACTGGGTTTTTAAATGTTACAGAGAATCTCTTAGTATTGTCAACATCTTTAACTTCAATTTGGACAGATAATGGTCACTTGTAAAATCAGAAATCAGATTTTCATTTTTCTTTTTAAAGTTAAAATATTAGGTACTCTGAAATATTTCTGAAAAATCTTTCTTCTGAGAGTGTATAACAATAAATATTTCTTACCTGAATCATATGAATAAAGTCCCACTTCTGAAGTTCTTTTTTCTCCATCATTCTATTTTGATATTCAGATGATGTCTCCTTATGCCAAGTAAACTTTATGTTCTCGAGGTTTGATGTCTTGGCTACAAGCTCTAAAATACGGAGAAGAGGTGGCACACCATCAATTTTAACTGCAAATTCGGAACCCATTTCCATTTAGAATTTTAATGCAATCAGTGTTATATACATAGCAGATAGAAAGCACATTTTTCTTTTTTATAAATCTCCAGAAGACCAAAGAGTTCATCCTAGTTTTTCCTCTAGTGTTAAATGAAATTAGAGAATGGAGTCAATGAGGAATAATTATGAGAATCCTGATCAGACATAGGTACTATTATCTTGGTGTTAATGGGAAATCAACTGGTGAATTTTATCAATGGAAAATTGATGTAAGACAGGTGATATGATTCTGTAAGTCAGGAATCAGCAAACCATGGCATGGGCCATATCTTCCCACCACCTATTTTTAAATAGACTGCAAGCTAAAAATATACACTACTTTCTGATTTCATGCTTCTTTCATATCTTGTGCCATTACACTTTTAAATGGTTGAACAAAATCAAAAGAAGAATAATACTTCTTGATAGGTAAAAATGATATAAAATGCAGATTTTAGTGTTTATAAAGTTTTATTGCAACATACCCACACTCATTAGTGTATGTACTGTCTATGGCTGCTTTGGGGCTCCAGTGGCAGAGCTGATTAGTTGTGACAGAGACCACCTAAGTCTAAAGTACTTACTCTATGGCCCTTTTTAAAGAAAAGTTTCCTGATTCCTGCTGTAAGCAATGAAACGTAAGCTCTTTAAGGGCAAGGATTCTGTTTAAATACCTCTGAATGAATTAATGACTCTGTCTCTAAGAATAAAGATCAAAAATAATAGTTGACGACCAGGGGAGGGATGGAGAGTCAGTAAAAAAAAAAAAGGGGGGGGGGATTCTCATCACTATTTATATTCTGAGATGTTTCGTCATTCCTGCCAAGAAAACAAATTAATCAGGTTCTTCTCTCAATAAGTTTACCAAGAACATACCACAGCAGCTGTGTTGTTAATGATTGAAGGGCCGCATCTGGGATGACAGGCCTTTCAGAACAGAATCTGATCTACAGCACCGTGGCTTACAAGTACCTTTGTACTTGGAGATCTGTTCAGCACTTGGTTCCACCACTTCAGTGTCGATACTGACTCCGGGGTATTGAGCCTGCACTTTGGAGAGGATATGAAGATCAATTTCACCTGGAAGAAAAGCATAGGGAACAGATCACCTCAGTCCAGAAAGAAATGAGTCAGAATAATTTGAACGAGTTTATTATCTCTAGGAAAGCCCAGCATAAAGAAAGAATAATACTCAGCTGTTGCCCTGCCACAATGTCTATGATGCAGAACAGCTAAGTTGTAAGTAGGAAGAATAATGTGATTTGAGGAGGGCTATGATTGCTATTCATTCATTCATTCATTCATATAGCCTTCATTTAATATGAATTATTATATTACAGTAAGCCTAAGATGCCCTTCATTATAGGATGCAAACAGCTCTTCTTTTTATGTCACTAAATCAGAAAAAACACCGTCAATTATAATTTTAAGATTTCATCAACTGGAAGATGTATATCAATTTCAGAGATGTTAAGTATGAAAAAAACATGCCATAGAATTGATCAATTAGGCTAGGCCAGATGCATACAAAATATATGTCACATACAAAATATGTCAGGTATAAAAAAGGATAAAAAAGTATATCAGACATGTGCCCTCAAAAACACCATGGTCTAGTGGTATAGACAGACATGGAAAGAACTCTGGCTGGGTTGGACCAAGGTGGGAAGGAGAAAGGAGACAGTGAGGGAGAGGATAGGAGGAGAGGCCAGAGAGAGGGAAAGCTTCATGGCAGATCACTCCTGAGTTCCCTGTTACAGGGTAAGTGGAAGTTAGCCCAGGGGCTTCTGGGGAAATGGGAATTGCAGGTAGAGAGGACAGGAAGTCAGGAAACAGAATCGTATATGTGGGACTACTGGCAATTCAGAGTTTTGGAATGTTAGGCAAGGCAGTGTCTCCATGCAAGAGGTGATCCCAGAGAGGTAAATGGAGAGGAAGTTATGGCAGAATTGATATTTATGCATTAATTCATGCACCAATGATTGATTATTTACTATGTGCCAGGCACTACACCAGGCTTTAGCAAATGATGATAAGAGGAGCAAATAGATACCTGCCCTGATGAAAATTTAGCCTGTAGGTGACTATGTAAGAGAGATAGATGACGGTAAGTTGGATAGACTTGAGTTCCAAACCTGTCTGACCCGCTTACTTGGTATTATGACCTTTGGAAATTTGCTTTATCTCTCCAAGGTGCATTTTCCTCATGAGAAAAACAGCAATATTAATAGTACATAGTTTATTGGGTGAGGGGATTAAATGAGGCAATGCTTATAAAGCACGGTGCAAAATAGAGTTGGCACCTAATAAATGTTAGCTGTTCGTCATTTTTATCGTTATCATTGAGTCCTTCTCTTTAAAAATCTCTCTTCTTTCCCTATTACTGATGCCTCCAAATTAAGTTTGCACTTTTATTCTCTTAGTTATCATGTTGACTTTCACTAAAACAGACTTATGTGCTGGCAAGACTAGCATATGAAAATGACATTAGTCTTTAACATTTTGGCATAAATGGCATTAACAGAACCTTTACAAGGTTAGATATGGCGGGCGGAAAAAGCATAGGTCATAAGACTGAGAGGTCTGAAAAGAAGGAGATGAGGAAGATAAATCAGGAACAAAAGATGCTAGACTTGGAAAAGAGGGCCGTCTAATGGTATAATGAGAGTCCCAAGTACTGGTAATGGGAGACAGTGGGGATTAGGGGGGAGAAGATATGGGAAGGAAGCTGAAACAGAGGATGAAGAAGCCTATGTGACAGTTTTCTCCATAGCTGGACCTGACACCTTTTAGTCCTTCCTTAATCATTATTCTAGCCGTCATTTATTGGCCGCCTATTATTTGTCAAACACTGTGCTAGGCACTTGACTTGAAACATCTCACTTAATCCTGACCACAATGCTATCACAAACGCCACAGTATTGTTCCCAACTAGATAAGGTGATTTGAGTAATTTGACACCGAGGGGACATTAATGTGCCCAAAGTTTACGGCATACTTGTCTGACTCCGAAGTGTTTGTTTTTCTAACAGCCTCATACTAAGAAATAGGAAAACACCAAATACTAAAAGGACATAGGAAGTTTTTCTCTACAGTAATTATTTTTGGAGGGTACAAAAGATAACTAAGGCAAAAGGCTGATAGGAAAATCTGTGGGCTAATGAGAAATAGAGAGATTCCAGCTTGCCCCAAAGGCCCAGAGGCCAAAAGTTCTGTTCTTGCCTCTATCAGCCTAGCCATGTATTTTATTTTATTTTTTCTATTAACATGCAATGATTTTATTATTGTTATTTTTTAACATCTTTATTGGAGTATAACTGCTTTACAATGGTGTGTTAGTTTCTGCTTTATATCGAAGTGAATCAGTTATACATACACATATGTCCCCATATCTCTTCCCTCTTGCATCTCCCTCCCTCCCACCCTCCCTATCCCACCCCTCTAGGTGGTCACAAAGCACCAAGCTGATCTCCCTGTGCTATGTGCCTAGCCATATATTTTAGATTAAAAAAATCATTAATTCTGAGGCTCCCAAACCCAACATTTTAAAATTCAGATAGTGGGATCTACCCAAATGGAAGAATGTATCTAGCACATCCCCAGGGCTCGTTCCAATCTTGTCCCTTTCCCAACCTGCAGAATGTTCTACCATAGAGCCACCCAGTCCCGCCTCCTATGGCAATGACAGAGGACACAATGCCAGAATTGCAGTGGAGACTCGGAACCCGTAGGTTCATGTAACAACCTCTATAGAGTGTGAGCCCACGTGTGGACACGAACCTTCTGTGCGTTCACTGCTGGGTCCCTAGAAGAAATGAATGAACAACAAGAGGAGATAATGAAATTATTTCCTCAGCGGGTAGCACGTAAAATGCAGTTCTGACTTCATAAGTCAGGTGACCACACTTCTTGTTTGCCAGGGACAGTTGTACTTGCTCCTGGTGCTAATGTCCCATCTGGTTTTGTTTCCCAAGTTTCTTTAATTTCTAACAACATATTATCACTGCAGTTTTATTTTTGAAAATACTTTTTAAAAAATAACTATATTTTAAAGTTTTTTGTATTGAGATATGGTTGATTTACAATATTATATTAGTTTTCAGGTGTACAACAGAATGATTCAAAATTTTTATAGATAATACTTCATATGTAGTTATTATAAAATATTGGCTATATTCCCTGTGCTGTTGTATAGCTTATTTACTTCATACATAGTAGTTTGTACTTCTTAATCCCCTACGTCTATCTTGCTCCTGCCCCCTTTTCTCTCCTCACTGGTAACCACTAGTTTGTTCTCTTTGAGTCTGTTTCTGTTTTGTTATATTCATTCTTTCATTTTATTTTTTTAGATGGCACATATAGGTGATAACCAAGTATTTGTCTCTCTCTGTCTGACTTATTTCACTTAGCACAAATACCTTCTAGGTCCATCCATGTTGTTGCAAATGGCAGAAGTTCATTCTTTTTTATGGCTGAGTAATATTCCATGGTGATATATGTATCACATCTTATTTATCCATTCAACTGTTGATGAACACTTAGGTTGCTTTCGTATCTTGGCTATTGTAAGTAATACTGCTGTGAACATTGGGGTGCATGTATCTTTTCGAATTAGTGTTTTTGTTTTCTTTGGCTATATACCCAGGAGTGGAATTTCTGAATCATTTGATCTTTCTAGTTTTAGTTTTTTGAGGAATCTCCATACTGTTTTCCATAGCGGCTGCACCAATTTACATTCCTACCAACAGTGTACTAGGGTTCCCTTTTCTCCACATCCTTGCCAACATTTGTTATTCATAAACTTTTTGATGACATAAAAGAACTATTTTATAAATTGACCGATATAATAAAAACAATTTGTTCAATAAATAAATATTTCAAAAAACTGTAATAATTTTACTCCTTTTACTCCCTCCCACTCTCAGTCTTAAAA